CTTCTCTTGTTTTTGTTTTGACCATCATCTCCTACACCCCTCCCCCCCGCATTCACTTTCTCCTCGCCCAACGCCCACAAAACTCAATGACGCTACCACCCGCTTGAGAGGTACATGGCACTACATGACTAATTCGTAAAAAAAAAAGAGTAAGCAGGGACGGGGTGCTGTGGGGTGGAAAATAAAATTAAATCAACAAGGGCTTGAGCCTCGTTCTCACTACTGCTACATAACCGTATATATGTACGTATCTGGGCCACCATCGATTCACACAAGTGAACACGTTGACTGACCCCAACCCCACGCATAAAAATAAAATTAAACAGAAAAAAAAAAGAAAGCGCATGCCCCTCTACAGACAGCAATATTCATTTATTGTCGTATGGAAAAAATATGGAATGACATACCGAGGAGAACCATTGCTACATTCGCTTACTTTAATGCGAGTTCCCATTGATGTAGACACCCCCCCCCGTTGTGCCCGGTCAATTCAAAATTTGACATGCGTTTCACGTAGCCCTTGAGTACTCTGCTATTCGCCATATACGCTGCTGGCCCATCCGCTTTGGATGAGACTAGCGGCACCAATAAGGCATACAAGGCGCAATCATAGCTGGTGGGAGTAGAACCCAGTAGGTACTTCTTGTTACCTATAAACTTCTCTATGGCCTGAAGGTCCTCCTCCTGCCTAGTTAGCATTGCACGCTGCGTCAGCGTTTCATCAGACATCGTTACCTTGCGCAGCATCTTTACGAGAAAGACCCTGACGACACTGCGCCTCTCATTGTGAGACAAGCATTCATAGGACCACCAAGAGCAGTGCTTTGCCAATGTTTCGAGGGCGACACCGATGGCCTTTTCCCTTTCAGTGAGGTAGTTATCCACTTTAACGTTGAAGGCCGATGTGACGAACGCAATGATGGCGTCCGTGGCGTCCAGGCAGTTGCCTTTGTACCGAATCAGTGGTAATTTTCCTGTTGGGGAGATGAGAGGATCGTCAAGAGTGTGCACCTCGTAGGGAACCTTCGCCATACGCAGGAAGATATCCACTGCGACACAGGGTGCAGAGACGCCGGGGATGGCATAGGACCGTGGGACCACATACAGCTGCAACTTCTTCGAGTCATCAATTGACATCATACGACGCCTCATTATGGAGCGCGCGAATGCGCTGTACACCTTGAGCAGTGCAAAACCCACAGCGGCAGTTGCACCCAAAGCAATAAGTGAGTGCAAAGAAGCCCACTCCAGTGTTGTTGTGAAGGCGGCAGTCAAAGGATGGCTCTTCCAACTCGCGCGAGGCAGTGGGGTGGGGGCTGTCTGAGGTTTTGGCAGGGGTGGTGCAAGGGAGGGGGCAACGGCGGGCGTGATGACGCTGACATTCGCGTTGATAGTTGTCTCTGCCCCTGTTGCTGTTAAAGTTTTTGCTGGGCCGGCCGGTGGCGCCGGTGGTGCCGTTGATTTTGATGCCGGGGCCTCAACGGCAAGCGCGTCAACCAGGCTGATTAGAGTGCTTTCCCTCACAGAGGGCATCAGACGACGCGGTGTGTGCTTCTGCTCCTGTGCCGCCCGGCAGACCCACGTCATCGGCGTCACGACCGTCGCCGTCGCCAATGTAGGAACAACAAGGCCGCTGGGAAACATTTTTTGTCGCCACTCCTGAATGAGGCTAGCCGCGATATACAGAATAGTATGCCTGTTTGTTTCTCGTCCTCTTCTTACTTTTCCCCTCCTCTTCACTTACACCCACTCTCTCTCTCTCCTAGATAGATAGATACCTACGTAGTTGCTTTTGGTTAACGACGACGGTACACTCCGGCAACGCACAGAAGGGGGAGAAACAAGGCCATGGAGGTCCGGGGCACAAAACAGCAGAAAACAAAAGGAAGGCTCGACATGGGGAGAGAGGCAAAACCATCAAAGCAGGGGAGGGTGGGAAGACGTCCCCGCCGCCCTGCAGCGATTCATAGATGACGGAGAGAGAACAATGAAGTGCGTGCATTCGTGTGGCAAAGTAAGGATCCCATAAGTAAAAATATATACCCTGTGTGCACGTGTGTCCCCTTTTTGTTGGCACCAGTAAATGGGGAAAATTTTTTAGTTATCTCTCTCGCCTGCTTGCTCCAAATGTATACGCACATTTAAGCATAGGGAGAGAGGGGAGAGAAGTACGACACCCAATATACATGGAAATCAACATAAACACTATAGACGGAAGCGAAGGAAGTGCAATGACGTCGGCACTAAACAATCCTGTACCATTGTTATTGCGCTCCAATAAAGCACTACTCTATTTTCATTCTTATTTTTATTTTTCCTTCTTTCTCCATTTCCTTCCTTGTTCTCTTTTCATATCCCTTTTCTTATGTTTCTCTCCCTTCTCCCAGTAGCTGCTGCTGCTGCTGCTGCTGCTACTGCTACTGCTACTGCTACTGCTGCATTAAAGCACAAGAATGAAGGGAGAGTTAAAACCTTCTCATCGTGCTAGCATTCATCAACGCTGCTCGTAGGGAGTAAATTTTTGCGACTCAGCGGACGTTCCGAGTTCACGGATGTCCGGAAACGCTAGCTTCATCATGCGCATAATGTAGTCATTGAGGACTTTGCTCTTTACAAGATACCTTATTGCCAGGCCATGTGGCCCCATCTCCCGCGCCACGTGCAGCCAACCATACACTGTGCAGTCATAAGTGGTGGGGCTGTTACCCAACAGAAACGGTTTCGTGCTAAGCAGGGTTTCAAGGCTTTGTACTTCGCACAGAAACTCCTGAGGGTACTGCTCCTTTGAAAGCGTGTTGTAGCCCACGGCATTTAGTATCTTGGCAACTTGCCTCCGCATAGTGTTCACGAGCCGCCGTGCCGGCCTGGGATCTACTAGGTACTCCTTCACAAACATTTGCTGCATGACTTCAGGTCGGTCCACCAGAATACTGCGCTGCAGGCCGTAGTTGAGTGAGGTTTCCACCATGCGCCGTGTGATGTGGCCAATGGCGTGATCCTCAGGTGTGAGACCGTCGTCCATGGTCACCTTGAAGGTCTCCTTCAGGAACTTAATGCAAAGCTCCGCGTCGCCGACGATGACGCCGTTGTAGACAATAAACGGCAGCCGGCTCGTCGGTGAGAGGGAGGCGTCGGAGGTGAAGTGCACGGTGTAGGCGATTTTGGCGAGGCGCAAAAATGTCTCCACCTTCACACACTGCGGGAAGAGGTTGGGTCCATGCGACCAGCGGTGATGCACAAAAAGGTGTACCATGTCCTTTTCAAGGCTGTTAAGACCAACCAACAGACGAGCCCGCAGGCGGTGGGAAAACAACAGCGTGACTCCCTTAAAGACGAGGCAGACACCCACGACGCTCACCGTAGCTACGAGAGGGTGGAACTCCGCTTTGCAGAGTCGTCCAAACGCACTCATGACCTTTTCACTCCCTGCTCACACACTGAGAAAAAAAGAGATAATAATAATAAACAAAAACAACAACAACGGCTTCGACTGATCAACTCAACTTCGCTAATGAACCTCCCCACCTGCCACGGAGTTGAAAGAGAGAGAGAGAGAGAGAAGGATAGTAGAAAGTGAACGTATGTACAGGTGGAAAATAAAAACAACAAAAACACCCCAGCACAGATCACATCTCACAAACGCACCAGACTGCTGCGCCTAAAACTATCCTCTCCTCAAGGCAGTTATAACAGTTTACACACATGCAGATATAAATAATACCACAAAAGCAAATGAAGAGCCTCCGCACAAAGCCAAAAGAGCGCAAAAGAAGACAAGGGAGAAATTTAGGCAAAAACAAGACTGACTTCGTTACCCAGCATCTTCACGCTCAAATAACAAGGACTCGTGCGTGGAAATCTCGGCCGCAAGCTTCTCCCAGCGCTCCAACAGAAGCACCTCCGCACGATCAAGAAGGCGATCTGCATTCTTCGCATCTGCCGTATCCATAGACTCCGCCACCAATGGTAAAGGCACGTGAACCTTTGCACTGCCATCGTTTTCACCTTCATCTGCGAGACATTCAGACCACACATTTTGTGACTCCTCTTTCTTTGTCCGCTTCTTTCGCCTACGAGCACGTCGTTTTTGTTCCACGGGGCCGCCATGGGCGGGTATCTGCTGCACCCTTACAATGGCACCGGGTCCAACTTCCGCCCCACACTCTTGTGGGAAAGTTTCGCTTCCCGCCCCCCAGTCACGGTTGCTCCTGCCTTCACCCGCCCTCACCACCACCTCACCTGTGTTGCAGTCGTTGGTGCCGCTCCACCCAATGTCATCCCCAACATAGTCCGGAAGCGCCAGCTTCATGTCAAACTTCACTACAGACACCCCCTTTGAGGCACCGGCCATAATATCCTTGAGAGTCACGCCCCCAATGGGAGCGCATGCGCGCAGAAAGGCGTCCCACAGCTCGCCATCCACGCTGCACAGCACACTTGAGGCGGGGTCGGAGTAGAAGGCCGAAAGTTCCGCCACATTCCATCGGGCGATAAGCTCCAGTGCGGCGAGGAGGACACCCTGATTGAGTGTCAGGCGAATTAGAGCTCGGGTGCGAACGGCTGCCGTACATTCAACAAAGGTTGACTTGATGACATAAATTAATTGCCCAGAAAACTTCAGCCGGTGATGCGTCGCCCCAAATGCGCCGCTGGCGTCGCCATGACTGAGCCTGTTCGGCACACGCTCAAGTGTTTGCAGCACACTCCACAACTCTTCCCCTTCGTGTAAGCCACGGGACAACACACGAACGAGTTCCGTCACGAGGAGCTCTGCCACTTCTGCCATACGGACATCGACTGTTGTCAGGCTGTGGGGGTCGCCATCGGATGGCCTAGAGTAATTGCTCACAATGCGAGGGTGAAAACGCAGCACCTTCCGCACTATCGCATGCAGCTCCTGCATCACAAGAGACCTTCACACACGCCCCACGCCGCCCAGGAGAAAAGGGGGGAAACAGGACTAGAGCGATAGGGCTAGGGAAAAGAGAAAGTGTAAAAAACGGCAGTGCAGACACACTCACCCACATTTTGCATGCAGGCAAGTGCCACTTGTTTCCCGCACGTTTAAAAAACCTACACACGCTGTGTCTGTGCGAGAGAAAAAAAAAGACAAATAATACAAGTTAGAGATAAACATATATTTGTATATATATATATATAATAGAAAAATGCAGCACTTCCTCCCCTTTCATCACATAGACCATTTTCCGCGACGTAAACAGTATGAATACCGCATTGCAATGATGGCTAGCGCAAAACCACTGCCCCCTATTCTCTCCCCAGGCGCTACTTCCCACAGGGCCTCATGTACACACACGCCCAGTATTATTCCCAAGCGTCACACTCTCAACGGCGGCGCACGAGTTTTTCAACAGCAATGTCGACGTACCCATTTGCATCAATTAAGGCGGAGCGAACGGTCTCCGCGTCAAACCCCATCCCGAGCTCCATGATTTGAGCAGTCCGCTCGTCCAGGACAGCATCACCCAGCATAAGTGCGCCGTTGTGGGACCCAGCCTGTGGCTCATATCGCCGGCGCACATGTCCTGCAAAGGACGCATCGACAGACCCACGCTCACGATGCATACGCGTGTTTTCATCCTCGTGGAGTCCAGCGAGGTTGTCCACGGTGTAGCGGCCACCCGGCGACGGCTGTCCACTGTTGTTCTGCCGCGGAACGCCAAGTTCCACAATATTTGATGATCCCGTCAGGCAGGAGAGGACAGGGCGAATAAAGTTAATAAACGGGCGGCAGATGCAGCGGCTAGAAAACCTAAACCACCATGTAAGCAACCACGTTTCCTTGGAGGCAACACCCCATATGATACCTAAGATAGCCAACAACACGCGTGTCCAGGAACCGATATCCACCTGAATGGCCCGCTGCTTGTGCGTCCTTGGGCTAACCTCCGTAGCGGGAAAAAACACCAATCGCATGAGGGGCACAAGGACCAGGGACCACTCTGTCAGTGAAATTCGAAGAAGTGGAACACGCCACCGGTGAAGCGAGCGGACCTCAAGGACATAGCGCGTGGCAAGGGCCACCAGTGGGACGATGGAACCCCCCGCTGACAAAATACGAAATTGATCCAAATTCAAGGGTGGTGTGGCTTCCGTCACGAGCATGTTGAGCAGCACAGAGCCCGTCATGGCGGATGTCATGACAAAAGCGAGAAACAATGAGGACCCCCAACGCCGCTCCAGGATCCGCATCTGAAACAGCACCAGAAGGGTGCACATGACGTCTGCCGAGGACACACCAATAGATCCAAACGGTAATGTTTCCAATGGGAGACGTCTGATGGTTGTTTTCCACCCCGGTACCACGTACGAGTGCCGCAGCGCCATGTAATGTCGTGGGGTAAGGGACATGGAGAGGAGGGAGAAGCCGAGCAGCAGCCCCGTCACGGGAGCGTGATCAAGCACCATTCACGCCGACACAATTTGTTGATGCAAATAACTATCAATAACAAATCTTTGCTATTTAACCGTACACCAAGCAACAAGAACAAGAGCAGCTAACATAAACACTGCAAAACTACACCAATGCAACATAGAAGTATACACACACGTACATTTCCCACGTAATAAACGTGTATCTTTCTGAACAGAATACTTGCAGCCTATGTACTAAAGCAACATACAATCATTTCAACAAAACCGTTTCGCCACTGGCACTTTGAAACGTGCCAGGAAAGCTGGGCTCGGGTATTGACCCTGAAAACGATGTAACCATGCGCTCCCAACACGCCCTATGATAGGAGGGTAAAAAAAACTTCCCAGCCGGAAATTAAACCCGGGCCACCAAGAAGACGGCGTCGGGGAAGAAGTGATATTCACGCGTGAGACTCTTGCGGCCTCCACATCGTTTCTCTCTTTTCCTTTTGGTGACGCCCCATCTTGCCCCCTGCAGTGCGTTTGGGCCCAGTCGTGTGCTCTGCAGCTAGTAAGTCAGAGATGCACACATCGTGCCACATGGTGGAGAGACCAATGTGGTTAAAACACATCCTGCCATCATCTACGTGGTCCCCATTGAGTCACCTGCTACCTCAAGACGCTTCCACAGCCCCAAAGAGAGAGAGAAAAGAAAAAAAGAACAACAACAAACATATGCAATCACGCGTGGCAGGCATATGACACAGCGCACCTTTGCGAAGACAGAACAGCCAGACGTAGATGTAGACAGCGTTAGAGAGGGGCCGAGCGACTCAATAGCAAATAACTGATGAAGGCACCTACCTCTCCCAGCTGTGCGGACCTTACATGTCAATTTTCTCCTGCTTATCATAAAGACACACACAAATACACACGATTAATTGCTTATATTACAAAAGACACATAACCTTTATGGTTTTCATATATATATATATATATATATACACACACACACACAAAGAGAGAGAGAGAGAGAGAGAGAGAGAGAGAGAGAGAGAGAGAGAGAGAGAGAGA